GTGGGAGCGCCGCCGCACTCCCAAGCGGCGCACTGTAGCTGTGCGCCACCGGGCCGGCCCCGAAATTGTACTTCTTAAAGAGGGACAGTCCATGGCCTCCCATGACATTGATAAGTAAAAGGGAAAATGACCATTCATGTAACAGTGAGCACTTTTCAAACTGACATAACTGTAGGTAGAAGTACTGAGGTGAGGTAGCTGTCTCATGGAGCCCCAATTTTCAATACAGTACGTGGAAAGAAAAATCATAAAAGACAAAGATGCTGGGCTGTCTGGCACAATATGACAAATTACAAAAGAAAGCTCTGTTCGGGAGAGGAGGCCTCCTTGGGAGTCCTCAGTGTTCTTCTGTCCTCTGCACAGGTCTGATCGATTCACATGAACCCTCTAATTCTGTATAGCTTACTGTTAAGGACATCCTTGATCAGTCACTTAAATTTTTTTTTAAGTTACCATTTATTGACTATGTAATCTGCACCAACTACCTTGCATGGTACCTGTATGATTCTCACAACAACACTGTAAAGCAGGTAGCATCATTCCTATTTTATAGATGAGAAACAGGCGTAAGAATCCTAGATCATATAACTAGTAAGTGGCCTAGTCATAATTTAAACTAAGATCTATATTTTTACAAAGTCTATGCTCTTTTTCTCTCCTTCTGTCTATGTATGTATAAATGGGTGTTTTATATGCAGTAAGAATCCTAGATCATATAACTAGTAAGTGGCCTAGTCATAATTTAAACTAAGATCTATATTTTTACAAAGTCTATGCTCTTTTTCTCTCTCTCCTTCTGTCTATGTATGTATAAATGGGTGTTTTATATGCGTATATATACACACACATATATACGTGTGTGCAGTTAACATATGTATATGCGTGCTCTTAATATGTGCTTTTATTATACTCTGTCTATATATGCCATACACACACACACACACACACACACACATATATATATATATATACACTCTAAATAAATGATAAATAAATCCAAATAACTCTTGATGGATAGTTTGTAAGTAGGGAGGTAGGGAGGTAGATGGATATTCCCTTTCTCTACACAGCACTGCACACCCTTTAGTTTATTACCATGGGCAAATGACTAAACCACTTAAACCCGATATTTCGCCTGTAAAATTGGATTTAAAAATAATCATTTCTACCCCATTCCATTGTTGAAAGAATTTAACGGTAAAATTCATGTTAAGTACGTAACATAGTGCCAGGCTCAACACATGATAGCTATTATCTATTATTATTATAACTAAAAATGATAATTCAATTACTTACCCAACAAAAAAAGGAAAAACTTTGGTATCTAGTGGAAAGTCTGCATTTTTAGCCAAGCAATTCTAGGACTCTGAAAGTTCAACATTTTCAGTTCTCTTGCTTTGGCCTTAGAAAGAAACATATATCTTTGTCTTATTTGGCTTCAGGTCCTTGTTCAGAGTTCTGGACTAAGTAATGCAGTTTTAGATTCCAAGTTTGAATACTTCGGTGCTTGGTAGGGAATGTGTTTGAGGGAAGCTTTATTAAGAACTCTTCTGTTATTTCATGAGATTGAGAGGGGCCGATTGTCATTTGTACATATTTTGTTCCCTCTAAACATTTTTTTTCCACGTGGCACCAACACAGCGCAGAGTGTACAGATTCCTATGACACCCCTGCAGTGAACAAGGCTGATGAGAACCAGCCTCATTTACAGGGCGTGACTGGCCTGCGGAACTTGGGCAACACATGCTACATGAATGCCATCTTGCAGTGTCTCTGCAGCATCTCGCCACTGGTGGAATACTTCCTCTCCGGAAAGTACACTACTGCTCTTCAAAAGTAAGACCATTCTGTTTCCTGCAGTCCTTCCCCCACCCCCAGTTCCCCAATGTGAGCTTAGGGAAGGAACCCTCTGGAGTCCCTATTAAGGGCTAAGCAAGTCGGTAGAGGTTGTACCTCCCCAGATAACATATCTAGGGTGAGTAAACTGGGAAGGACAATCAAGAAATGAATGAAGCTCCATTTTTGGATTGATTCCCCGTACATGAGTAATTAGGTGCCCTCTTTTCTTTGAATCAGCCAGAAACATGCCCCTTCCTTTTCCCAAGGGATTGCAGTGAGGTTGCCACTGCTTTTGCCTACTTGATGACAGACATGTGGCTTGGAGACTCAGACTGTGTCTCACCAGAAATATTTCGGTCAGCTCTTGGCAATCTCTACCCAGCATTTATGAAAAAGATACAACAAGATGCTCAGGAATTCTTGATTTATGTCCTAAACGAACTTCATGAAGCTCTGAAAAAGGTAAGTAGAATTAATGGCCTTGAAATAGGATAGGCCAAAAACAAAAAAGAAAAAAGAAATAGGATAGACCTGCAGCTTTATCAGCAAATTCAATTTTTTCTTCTTTCATTCATTCAGTCAATATCGCCTACTCTGTATCAAGCACTGTGCTAGGTGCTGGGGTACTAGGGAGAACATTCAAGTTAGTGTTTCAACACGTAACTGTGTTTACCAAATTTATTGATCATCAGAATCACCTGGGAAGATTTTTGCAACACATTCTAAGGCACCCACTCCATTGTTACTGAATTAGAATGTCTGGGGCAGTCTTCTGAGAAAGCTCACTTGGCATTTCCAGTGATCAGCCAGGTGTGGGAGCCACTAATCTGGTTACCTTTGCAAATACAAGCTGCAAAAATTAGTTTTTAAAAGTGAGAATTGCATTTTTTTTTTTTAAAAGATGACCGGTAAGGGGATCTCAACCCTTGGCTTGGTGTTGTCAGCACCACGCTCAGCCAGTGAGCAAACCGGCCATCCCTATATAGGATCCGAACCCGTGGCCTTGGTGTTATCAGCACCGCACTCTACCGAGTGAGCCACAGGCCGGCCCTGAGAATTGCATTTTTTAATAAAAATAAATTCCTCATGAGAAATAACATGTAGAACTTCACAACTTAAATTTCCATGGTACTGAGAAATCCATGAAAATATTAAGTTTGGCATTAAGTTAGGACAGACCTATGCACTGCAAAGTTCATCTTCATACCAAACATGCCTACTCATTCTTCATTGGATTAGGACATACATTTGATTAAACATGAAGTCTAGAGGTTTTGCCTTTATTTACAGAGGAAAATATTAAGTTTGGCATTAAGTTAGGACAGACCTATGCACTGCAAAGTTCATCTTCATATCAAACATGCCTACTCATTCTTCATTGGATTAGGACATACATTTGATTAAACATGAAGTCTAGAGGTTTTGCCTTTATTTACAGAACTCACTGCCTTTAGCCTTGGTCTGAGACCCACACACTCTGAAAATATGTCCTTGACTTTAGGCAGTGTCCTTGTGCTAATGTTACCTGACCGCATACCCAACATCCAGGAAATAGCAAAAAGATCACAAACTATAGCCATTAATTATTCTCATTTGCAATCCTCAGTTTCATTTTTCATTTTTAGTAATAAAAAAAGATTCTTGGCAGCACTTTATTTTATCTAGAGGAGAGGGTGGTGGTCAGTAAAAATCACTTATGTCCTCAATCTTCAGCCAATTTGAAATAAATGGCATTCTGGTTCCCCAGGCCAAACTAGGAATTAGGGGCATTAAATTACTCTCAAAAGTGAAAGACCTTGGCAGCAAGGAGTATGACAAAAGAAGCAAGCAACAGTGGAATGGTGAGCACAGCTCCAAATTAGAGCCGGCTGTGGGGCTAATGCATCTTCAAAATGTATATTCTACTGAGGTTCTAAAGTCACTGAAAATTCAGGATATGCTCCGGATGCTGTACCTGAGTATTAGCTAGATTCAAACCAGGTCACAAGGCTAGTCAAATTGTCTATCTTAGGAATTTAAGATTTGCTTTTTAAAAAAAGCCTTTTCTATAAATAAAAGAAGTAAGGGATAGGAAACGTATCCTTAAGGGACTGGAGAGAAGAAAGATCAGATTCCTTTATTTTACTTCTAGATCAGCTTGCATGACCTAAAGTTAGTTCAACAGCTCGCTTACCCTCTTCCCAGGAAAAACTAGCTCCAGGGCCCTATATTACATTATCATGGGCTTATGGGGCCATGAGCATGTGTTTAACTAGAATTAGAGAGTCATCATTCCTCAGCTTCACTAAAAGAGGGAAATATCTGAATTATCAGAAATCACACTTGATACATACTCTTAAAATGTTACTCTATTGTCTGGATCCAAAACTAAGTGGGTTTTGGTAGCAACGTATAGTACTCTGATAGAAAAAAAAAATCAGTCATTCTACTAAAAATTTTTTTGATGATCGATAGTCGATTTGGGGGGAATTTGTTCCTTGATTCAGTACCACCGAAGAAGATCATATGAGAAAGGATCTACTCTGAGATGCTGCAGGAAGATGATTGCCAGTGAGACGTCCATCATCACCCAGCTGTTTGAAGGGCAGCTCAATTACAGCATCATCTGTTTAAAGTGTGAGAACTGCACCTACAAGAACGAAATCTTCACTGTCCTCTCCCTCCCCATTCCATCCGAATACGAATGCTCCCTTCAGGTGGGGTTTCTGTACTCCTGGATGCTTCTGTTCTGCTCTACCCTCAGTCCTGGATTTTCTCTAGGCTTATTCCTACAGTTTTTTAGTATGAGAGGGCTGCTTTATAACTTAAAAAAAAAAAAAAAAGGAAGCCTAAATGACAGCGTTTTTTTGAAAAGTGACATATTGCCCAAAAGTTACTGTGAATTCGCTTTGTACTTAACAAAGCAGCTTCAATGTAAAATTGAAAATGTAAGTGGGTTTTATTTGGTCCATTGAGATGGCTTACTGCATATAGGGAATTTATAATTTATTGCAAAAACTATGACTCACTCTCACCCCAGAGGTCTGTAGACTCAGATTGGGAACTAGATATAAAAGATTCTGACTCTTAGTTTTGAGCTCATATTTCGGACTAAAGCTGTGAAATGTATTGGGAAGAGAGAGTAGAATTAGTACCTTAATTTGCCTCTATGATTTTCTCTACCACAATACTGAAAGTTAATTCAGTGTGGAGGTAGAGTAGGTGCAGTAGAAGGCAGGCAGCAATAAGTTAGGAGCAAACAGGAGGCAGGGAACAAAAAGTTTCCTTGCAGAATTGTACAACTTTATATTTTTCTACCTCATTATGCATGGAGAATAGAATCCTATTACTTATTCAGAACTGGGCTTTGTTCTCAGATCAAACTGCTAAAGATTGCTGGAAAGGAATTCCAAGCACTATTTAAATGAGATAGTGGCAAGTCTACTGAAAACAAAATCTGTGCTCATTTTCCCTATTAGGTTAATTGTTTACAGAACCAGGGGCCTGGCCACATTGAGAATACCTCCTGTGGATATGGGATCTAATTTATCTATGTCCTGCTATCTTTATTAGGAGCCACCCTAAACCCTGAGATATGGTCATTTTTCAATCACTAGATCACTTTAGTGATGAGATAAATAACACAAAATAGCTTCCTGACTTCCTTAGTGGAAATTGCAAAGTCAATATTATTCTGAAATAAACCAGAAACGTTAAAATGTTGATTCATAGATTATAAGTGAGATGGACAGTGAGATCCATTTCGGTGACTATGTAAGAAAGAAGCACCTACTTTGCTACGTAGATTTTACAGCTGTCCGTGGCTTGTGACACTTGTATCTCCTGGACTTGTTGACTTTGAGAAAAGCACCGAGGATTACATTTTCACGGCTCTTTCAAAATTCTAATATAAACAGAGACCCAGATTGATCCAATTTGTTCAGCAAATGCTTTTTTTCCTCAACAGGATTGTCTCCAATGTTTTTTTCAACAAGACACATTGACCTGGAACAACCAAATTCATTGCTCCTTTTGTGAAACCAAGCAAGAAACAGCTATGAGGACCAGTATTTCCAAAGCACCAAAAATAATTATTTTTCACTTAAAAAGGTATGAATTTTAACCTTTTATGGGCAGATATTTTTGAACTGCTTTATGGAGATATAATTCACCCATTTAAAGTGTACAATTCAATGGTATTTTGTATGTTACATTATTAATTTTTTGATTATTTTTCACTTAAAAAGGTATGAATTTTAACCTTTTATGGGCAGATATTTTTGAACTGCCTTATGGAGATATAATTCACCCATTTAAAGTGTACAATTCAATGGTATTTTGTATGTTACATTATTAATTTTTTTGCTATCTTTATTAGGAGCCACCCTAAACCCTGAGATATGGTCATTTTTCAATCACTAGATCACTTTAGTGATGAGATAAATAACACAAAATAGCTTCCTGACTTCCTTAGTGGAAATTGCAAAGTCAATATTATTCTGAAATAAACCAGAAACGTTAAAATGTTGATTCATAGATTATAAGTGAGATGGACAGTGAGATCCATTTCGGTGACTATGTAAGAAAGAAGCACCTACTTTGCTACGTAGATTTTACAGCTGTCCGTGGCTTGTGACACTTGTATCTCCTGGACTTGTTGACTTTGAGAAAAGCACCGAGGATTAACATTTTCACGGCTCTTTCAAAGTTCTAATATAAACAGAGACCCAGATTGATCCAATTTGTTCAGCAAATGCTTTTTTTCCTCAACAGGATTGTCTCCAATGTTTTTTTCAACAAGACACATTGACCTGGAACAACCAAATTCATTGCTCCTTTTGTGAAACCAAGCAAGAAACAGCTATGAGGACCAGTATTTCCAAAGCACCAAAAATAATTATTTTTCACTTAAAAAGGTATGAATTTTAACCTTTTATGGGCAGATATTTTTGAACTGCTTTATGGAGATATAATTCACCCATTTAAAGTGTACAATTCAATGGTATTTTGTATGTTACATTATTAATTTTTTGAATTGTGATAACATACAATATAAAAAAATTACCATTTTAGCAATTTTAAGTGTATAATTTATTGACATTACATTCACAATGTTGTGTGACAATCACTACTATTTCCAAAATCCTTTTGTCACCCCAAACAGAAACTGTAATCATCAAACATTCTTCTTCTCTCCAGTCCCTGGTAATCCCTAATATCCTTTCCATGTCTATAAATTTGCCTATTCTAGACACCTCATATAAGTGGAATCATATAGTTTTTATCCTTTTCGTCTGGCTGTGTCACTCAGCAATGTTTCCAAGGTTCACCCATGTTGTAGCATGTCCCAGAGTTTTCTTCCTTTTTATGGCTGAATAATATCCCATTGTCTGTATATACCACACTTTGTTTACCTATTCATCTATTGATGGGCACTGAATTATTTATACCTTTTGGCTATTGTGAATAATGCTGTAATGAACATTGGCATAAAAGTATCTGAGTCCTGCTTTCAATTCCTCTGGGTAATGCCTNGGCTGAATAATATCCCATTGTCTGTATATACCACACTTTGTTTACCTATTCATCTATTGATGGGCACTGAATTATTTATACCTTTTGGCTATTGTGAATAATGCTGTAATGAACATTGGCATAAAAGTATCTGAGTCCTGCTTTCAATTCCTCTGGGTAATGCCTAGGAGTGGAATTGATGGGTAATATGGTAGTTGTATGTTTAGGTTTTTGAAGAACTGCCAAACTGTTTTCCACAGTGGCTGCACCATTTTACATTCCCATTGGCAATGTATAAAGGTTCCAATTTCTTTGCATCCTCACCAACACTTGTTATTTTCCATTTTGTTGTTGTTTTTTTAATAATAGCCATCCTAAGAGAGTAAAGTGATATCTCATTGAGGTTTTTGATTTGCATTTACGTAATGGCTAATAATGTTGAGCATCTTTCCATGTGCTTATTGTCCATTTGTGTATCTTCTTTGGAGAAGTGTCTATCCATATCCTTTGTGTGGGTGTATTTAAAGGTATGAAAAGGACATGAGCAGCCAAAACAGTTTTATAAGACACATTTTCCTGTCAATCCGGGGGCAATGCAATGATTCTCAAAATAGAATATGTTTAGGTCAGTGAAGTTTCTTCTTAGAAACAAAAGTTGTCTAATTCAAATATCCAGTGAGATCTTCAGCCTACCCTTGGAGTGGAAACTACAAAAGAACAAACAGGTAAGAATGAGCACCGAAGAATGAGGAATTTTAAAGGCAGAGAGGAGGGAGAAGGGAATAATATGTGCAAAGGCATCTTGGTATGTATGTTAAATAACTGTGAGGATGAGACAGGAAGGAGTAATGATGAGGCCATAAGGCAAGTGAGGGCCTCGTGGAGAGTCTAAAATCATGTGTTAAGACCTATGGGTTTTACCTTTTGGCAGTAGTAAGTCACTGGAGGTGAGTGGTGTGATCAGACTTAAAAAGGGAACTCAAGTTGGCTGGGGGAGGCTTGGGAGTGGGGGGAATAGTTAAGATGCTGTGGGAAGAGCCTAGGCAGGAGACGAGGACCTGGACTATGGTGGTGTGGTGCGGGAAAGAACGGGATGGATTCAAGACGTTTTGGAGAGGTAGAAGTAGAACCAGTAGGACTTGAGGGGCAACTATTTGACAGTGGAGAGGTTGGGGGAGGTGACAGAGCAGAAATAGAAGATGACAACTTCAAAGTTGTTTGAATGTGTGATATAAAGAACATTGTGTAAAAATACTAAAAAATAAAAACCCCAACAAAACAAACGAAGACTAAATAAACAACAAAAAGTATTTAAAAAAAATTTTTTTAATTAAAAAAATTTTTAAAATAACATTGTGTTACATACGTAGGCAAGTTGCCTATTAGCAGGGGTTCCCAAAGGCCAATCCCTGGACCGATGGCTAATTATCAACTAATACTAAATGCTTTAAAAGAAAATAGATTCCCTGGCCCCACCCTGGATTTTGATTCCACAGGTATGAGGTGGAGGCTAAGCATTACTATTTTAATTTTGAAATTTTTCTCCCAATTTTCACTTTTAAAAAAGTTTAAAATCTACAGAAAAGTTGANAGACTTAAAAAGGGAACTCAAGTTGGCTGGGGGAGGCTTGGGAGTGGGGGGAATAGTTAAGATGCTGTGGGAAGAGCCTAGGCAGGAGACGAGGACCTGGACTATGGTGGTGTGGTGCGGGAAAGAACGGGATGGATTCAAGACGTTTTGGAGAGGTAGAAGTAGAACCAGTAGGACTTGAGGGGCAACTATTTGACAGTGGAGAGGTTGGGGGAGGTGACAGAGCAGAAATAGAAGATGACAACTTCAAAGTTGTTTGAATGTGTGATATAAAGAACATTGTGTAAAAATACTAAAAAATAAAAACCCCAACAAAACAAACGAAGACTAAATAAACAACAAAAAGTATTTTAAAAAAAATTTTTTTAATTAAAAAAATTTTTAAAAGAACATTGTGTTACATACGTAGGCAAGTTGCCTATTAGCAGGGGTTCCCAAAGGCCAATCCCTGGACCGATGGCTAATTGTCAACTAATACTAAATGCTTTAAAAGAAAATAGATTCCCTGGCCCCACCCTGGATTTTGATTAAAAAAAATTTTTTTAATTAAAAAAATTTTTAAAATAACATTGTGTTACATACGTAGGCAAGTTGCCTATTAGCAGGGGTTCCCAAAGGCCAATCCCTGGACCGATGGCTAATTATCAACTAATACTAAATGCTTTAAAAGAAAATAGATTCCCTGGCCCCACCCTGGATTTTGATTCCACAGGTATGAGGTGGAGGCTAAGCATTACTATTTTAATTTTGAAATTTTTCTCCCAATTTTCACTTTTAAAAAAGTTTAAAATCTACAGAAAAGTTGAAAGAATATATAATGAATTCCCATATACTCTTCAGCTATAATGTTAGTTGGTAGCACTTTGCCACATTTCCTTCCCCTCTTTCTGTCTCTGTCTCTGCATCCATATTTCTCTCCCTCCCTCCCTTTCTCCATCCCTCCCATTTTATTAGCTTAATCATTTGAAGTCAGATGCAGACACCATAGATTTTCATGCTTAAATACTTCAGAATGTACCACCTGAAAAAAAGGACACCCTCCTCCAGAATCATAGTTCCATTATCATGCTTAAGAAATTTAACAATAATTTCATATTCCCTAAGATACAGTCCTTATCTAAATTTCTCTTCTATCCCAAAAATGTCTTTCATAACTTTTTTTTTCCAATCCAGCATCCAATTAAGGATCATACTTTGCATTGGCCGTCTCGTCTCCTTAGTCTCTTTTTATCTAGAACAATCCTCCCCTCCCTTTCTAAATTTAAACTTTTATGATGTGGAGTGTCATTTCACATACTTATCTGCTGTCTGTATGTCTTTTTTAGTGAAGTGCCTGTTAAGGTCTTTGGTCCATTTTCTTAATTGGGTTGTTTGCTTTCTTATTGTTGAGTTCTAAAAGTTTTTTGCATATTTTGGATTAGTCCTTTACCTGATGTGTCTTTGCAAATATTTTCTTTTCAGTCTGTGGTTTGTCATTTTGTTCTCTGGACAGTGTCATTTGCAGGGAAGAAAATTTTAATTTTAATGAGGTCCAGCTTATTAATTTTTTTCTATTGTAGAGCATGCATTTTGTGTCATATCTATAAAGTCTTTGCCAAACCCAAGGTCATCTAGATTTTCTTCTATGTTATCTTCCAGGAGTTGTATAGTTTTGCATTTTACATTTAGGTCTGTGATTGATGTTGATTTAATTTTTATGATGGATGTAAGGTCTATCTGTGTCTAGCTTCTTTTTTTTTTTTTTGCATGTGGATATCTAGTTGTTCCAGCACCATTCATTGAAAAGGCTATCTTTTCTCCATTGTATTGCCTTTGCTCCTTTGTCAAAGATGGTTGATTATATTTATGTGGGTCTATATCTAGGCTCTCTATTCTGTTCCGTTGATCTACTTGTCTTTTCTGTCACCAATACCAGACTGCCTTGATTATTGTAGCTTTATAAGTCTCAAAGTTTGGTAATGCTAGTCCTCCAACATTGTTCTTCTCCTTCAATATTGTGTTGGCT